TAGCAGCAATGTGTACTATCTACAAGATGCATTGCAGAAATTCAACGAAGATCCTCAGACAACACCTTCCAGACCCAAGGCCACTCCCATCTAAAAGGACAAGGGCAGCATATACATGGGAACACCACCATTTTCAATTTCCTCTTCAAGCCACTCACCACCCTGACTTGGAAATATATCATTGTTCCTTCACTGTCGTTGGTCAAAATTCTGGAATTTCCTCCCTAATGGCATTGTGAGTCAACCCACAGCTGATTCAAGAAGGCTCAAGGACAACTAGGGACAGGCAATGAATGCAGTGACATCCATATCCCACATAATGATTAAAAAAAGACACAGAAAGCTAGCACACAGGTCATCAGCAGGTAAAGCAGGAAGGCTAGTGAAATGTTGGCCCTTATTTCAAGGGGTTGGGGGATAAAAGTAGGGAAATCTCACAGCGACTGTGTGGGTGTTGGTGACACCACATCTGGAGTTCTATCAGCAGTTTTAGTCATGTTGTTTAAGGAAAGATATAATTTCATTGGAGGCAGTTCAGAGAACGTTCCTGGATGATTCCTGGTATGGGGTGGATTGTCTTATGAGCAAAGGCTAAACAGATTCGGACTCTACTCACTGGAGTATAGAAGAATGAGAGGTGATCTCATTGAAACATATTGGATTCTAAAGGGGCTTGACAGGGTAAATGCTGTGAGGATGCTTCCTGTAAGTCTAGGATCACAGAAAATAGTCTCAGAATAAAGGGGTCCAATTTAAGACTGAGATGAGGAGGAATTCCTTCTTTCAGAGGGTTGAGAGTCTTTGGAACTCCTTGCCACAGAGAGCTGCGATAGAGTCTAAATCAGAAATCCAGGGTTATGGGGAAAGGGCAAGAAAGTGGAATGTGAGGAATATTGGATCAGCCATGATCCTACTTAATAGTGCAGCAGTCTCAAAGGGTCAAATAGCTTACTTCTGTTCCTATTTCTTATGGACTTAATTCATTTCATTGTGGAAATGGAGTGAACTTCAGATTCTGAACAGGAATGATATCGGACTCAAAACATTGACTGTGCTTCTCTCTCTGCAAATGCTGCCATATTTGATGAGTTTCTATAGCATTCTCTGCATTTGTTTCAGATTTCCAGCTTCCACAGCATTTTGCCTTTATGGAAATGGATTGGAACCAGCCAGTTCATTAAATTGTCAGGCTTAAATCACAGAGCTCAAGTCTCCTCAGCTGTCATTGTTGCCACTTTCCAAGAAGTGATTTCTCTGCTAATTTAGCTGTTGCTGCAATAGCAGCTGCTGCCTCCCTATTGAGTGATTCCAGTGTCAAAGTGGGAGGGAGGTAGACAGCCGTATAAATGGACCATGCTGAGGAGACCTCTTGATGCTGAAACATTGTTGCCAACAATAATTGTATGGGCTCCTGGAAGCAGTCTCTGGGAGTACTGCATCTAATATCCCAAAATGGAATTGAGGCCAATGCTGAGATTGTGTCGCACTTAGACATAAATTCAGCCCATGGTTTCTAGAAGCAGTGGGGACTGAAACCAAAGATCATAGAATTGATTGGCAAAAGAATCTGAAACTATATAAAGAAGATATGGGGTGAATCATATGGTTTTTGGCAAGTGCGAGTTAGGTTGAGTGACTCACTGTGAGTTGCAGCAAGGTTTCTCATTGTATTTTATTAAACTCACCACATAAATTGGTATTTCAGCCCTTATGATGAGTATCATGTCCAACTTCTGTCCAATCTTAGACCTTGCTGTTCCTGGAGCAACTCATCACACCAGAGATCCTGGAATTGACTGGCATCTTTGACACCGGTGCCATATCTAAAAGGCCGTTAAACAACTGGACAAGCACTATCAATCTGGAGCTTCCCTGCCTAGTTCCTTGATAGTTGACCCAGACATGGCAGATAGGAGGAAAGTGGCTTTTCAGGCTTGGTCATGGAGCTTCTACTGGACAGTGTGGTTCACAGGCAGGGCTTTTACTTCCCCCTGGACTGCAGTGGGGGCATGATACCAGACCATGCCAGCCTGATCCAAAGTTCCACCCAGTTTAGAACAGTCTCAGCGAAATGGCCTAATATGCCAATGTAAGGCCCACCATCTTCTCTCTGATACCTCTCACTCACTCTATTTCTGCTACTGTACCCATCTCCCACCAGTGATCATTCTCTATCACTCTCATTATTGCATGCAACATTTTCCCAACTCGCCCTCACCCAACCCATCTTGTGACATCACTAACACTATACACCCTCCAGCTGCACGCATGGCCCCAAGCATAAAGTATGCTTGTTGCAGCATTACAGTGGGAGCTGCCAGAACAGCCCAAGGTACAGCACTTATCCAAGTGAATAAGATGTGTTTTAAAGGCTCATAACAGCTGGCACATATCAAATACCAAAGTCTGTGGATCTAGGGCGCTTGTGGTCAGTGCCATGGACCATGCTGAAGATGTTGGTGTCCGGTGGCCAACATTGAGGTCCTTTGGAGCAAGCGCCAAGCTTAACCCACGAAGAAGATCTTCTGGTTTCCAAGTTGCATTTTCCCGATATCTAGTTTGCATGGCAAGTTTGGGATAATTGCCACTCATGATGAATTGGGTGGCTGACAAAGTGTTTAACAAGTCATAAGGAGTGTCAGTTGGGAACTTGCCACTGCCTAGCGAGAATCTTTCTATAACCTTTCTGAAACTTATACAAGATACAGTGAGATGATCTTGACATTGAGATGGGTCTTGCTGAACATCTCACCTCTTTCTACTATTCATCTCACCATGGCCCATGTCACTCACAGCCTGATAGTATGGGGAAAGAGATTCTACTTTCACATTCAAAAGATAATTGGAAAAATACTCAAATGAAAATAAACACAGGACTATGGAGAAAGAGCACAGATGGATTAATCAGATAGTTCTACATGGTGTTCTATCATTCTCTGATTCTGGGACTGGTGGACCATCTTTGTGGTGGAATGGTTTTGGAGTGCACATTCCAATCGGATGTTTAAGTTGCCAACAGTCTGGTTCTGCCTGAGGAAGTGGAGGAAGAGGATTTTAAGCAGTAAAATGTTTGTTGGCTTATATACAGTGTGGACTTTCTTGAAAATTGTGATTGCACTAAAAGATAGTAAGAACTGCCGATGCTGGAGTCTGAGATAACACAATGTGGAGCTGGAGGAATACAGCAGGCCAGGCAGCATCAGAACAGCAGGAAAGCTGACATTTTGTGTTGGGACCCTTCTTCAGAAATGGGGCAGGGGAAGGGGGCTCTTAAATAAATAGAGGGGGGGGTTCCGGCTGGGGAAGGTAGGTGGGATGGTGAGTGTAGGTAGGTAGTGGTGGGGATTGGTCAGTGAGGTGGGAGGAGCGGATAGGTGGGAGAGAAGACGGACAGGTCAGGGAGGCGGGGATGAGAGTGTGGGTTTGTCATGGGATGAGGCTGGGGGTGGGGAGATTTTGAAGCTAGTAAAGCCCACATTGAGACCATTGGGTTGTAGGCTCCCAAGGTGGAATATGAGGTGCTGCTCCTCCAGTTTCCGGGTGGCATTGTTATGACACTGGAGGAGGCCCAGGGTGGACATGTCGTCCAGGGAGTGGGAGGGGGGAGTTGAAGTGGTTCGCGACTGGAAGGTGCTGTCGTTTGTCGCGAACTGAGCGCAGGTGCTCTATAAAGTGATCTCCGAGCCTCCGCTTGGTCTCACCGATGGAGAGGAGGCCACATCGGGAACAGTGGATACAATAGACCACATTAGCAGATGTGCAGGTGAACATCCGTCTGATGTGATTGCACTAAAGCTGTTCTGCTCAGAAATCTTTATCAGTTGGTGTACAACTAATGTAACATTTCTGTGCAGTATACTGAGAGTTCTGTATTGTTTCAAGTGTTGTGTGTTGGGTTGGGTGAAATGGCTGAGGCTCTAGGTGCCCTCTCAGACAAATGTATAAGAACCCATGTTGTTGTTTTTGAAGAAAAGCGGGACAGTTGTCACTTAAGTGTTGACCAACGCTTATCTCCAATCGCTGCCATGAAAAATAGAAAAGTAAAGCAAAGTGCTGTAGACTTTGGGCATCTGAAATAAAAACAAAAAATACTGCAAATACAATGCCGATCTATCAGCAACTGTGCAGAAGATTACAGTTAACATTTCAAGTTAATGATGAGATATAGTCCTTAGATCAAGTCACTTGTGATCAGTGTAGAGCAAGTTGTTGACCATTGCTGCTTCTTCAGCCTATCTGTCTTCCTGATTTTCTTAATGCTCATGAGAATCTTTGTGCTTTGTTCCTATTAAGCATCCATTTTTTTCACAACCCATTGGTACACAAAAGACTACACTTCATATTTAAGGTAATAAGATATTAATCAGGGCTGCTGTTCCTGAATTATCTGATTGTTAGGTAGGGTATGGATAACATCAGATTCATCTGTGACTTTCCCCAGTCACACAGCTAATCAACATTCTTCTGGCTGAGAGATGAAGCATGATCATTTGACTGAAGCACCAGAAGTCAGCACCACCGAAGCAATATCTTCAGAAAATGAGGAAAGAAAACACAAGAAATACAGGAAACTTCAAGTACTCTTGCATTAGCAGTGTTTCACATATGTCTAGAGCAGAAACAAGAAATAACATTGGGTGTATATATTTTTAAAATAGGACGTGTGGTGTCTTACACTCAAACATATTATTAAATGACTTTTCTATTTAAAAAATAGAAAATAGGGATTTAAAAAATCAGTACATATTGAAAATGGGAAACAAAGATTAGTTAAATTGACATGCTATGTTGATGTATCAAACTCTTGAGAGATGAAGTGGTCCACATGGACTGTCAAGACTAGGTTACAATTCAAAGTGGGACAGGGAAGGAAGGATATGCCCACTATTCCTATTCATTATACTGCTACAAGGCTTTTCTAAAAGCCTGGAAAAGTTTCCGCTACAGGATTGATGTGTGGCAAAGTTAGTTAGTTACAACAAAATGCCAATTAATTATAGTTGATTTGAAATATAAATCTTTATTTATTGAAATTAACACATGGATATTGCAGAATTATTACTTAATTCCTCTTCATAACAAGCTTGATATCTTCAATGAATAAACCTCATTTTATTCTTACAGCATATGAAGTCCACTTCGCTGCTGATAACTAGCATAGAAGTCCATAAGCTTCTTAGGAATTCTTGGAGTGACAATTTCAAATGACTGATCAAAATGTCTTTTCTTAATTATCTTGGCCTCAAGATCTTCTTGCAAAGCTAAGAGGGCTGCTTCCCTGCAAAGAGCAATGATCTGAAAGGAACAGATAACAAAAACACCAATGATTTAGAGCAAGAATGATTCGTTAGTACAGAACTTAAACATTATTAAAAAGAGACATGAAAACAAAGTTTTTTTGTATTGTACTCGTCAGGACTGAAATTCAATGAACCTGACTTTGGAAAGGAAACAACAATTTATATAGCATAAGAAGACATTCCAGATTGTGTGTGTAACAATGACATGGTGATGCAGCAGGACTGTTAACTGTTAATCTTAGTTAATTGACTAATTCAAACCAAGAAACATTGATATTGACTGAGGGATTGGCTGTCTCCATGGCATATTTTGTTCTTCTTTGGAAAGGTGCAATGTGTAAACATGTTCCTTTTGCAGGACCTTAGAATCTTAGAATCCCTACAGTGTGGAAACAGGCCCTTTGGCCCAACAAGTACACAATGAACCTCAGAGCATCCTACCCACCTAATCTACACATTCCTGAACACTATGGGCAATTTAGCATGGCCAATCCACCTAGCCTGCACATCTTTGGACTGTGGGAGGAAACCAGAGCACCTGGAGGAAACCCACGCAGATACGGAGGGTGTGTGTGAAGAAATGGAGCTTCTAGCACACACAAAAGATTGGAATGCTGCCCATTGCAAACGGTCAGAGACATGTGGTTTGATACGGTCTGTTGACATGTATGGCCGACATACCTGGCATCACACTTACACTGAATCTCATTACCCATTTGTGTGGTAGGCAGAACATTTTTTTGGGCTAATTGCAGCATCCTGTTAGTGGGAAGTAATACTTGTGTGTGCTGATTACGTGGAGAAAAATTTCACTTTTAGAAGAAATTTGTATATCTAATCTGACCTCAAATATAGTGATTCTTCTTCATTAAGTCCTCTAACTGTCTCTGCCAGATAGATCTAATTACTATGCAATGTGAGTCAATGGCAGTAGCACCACTGAGTTGAACTGGACAATCGAGTGCAATTGTACATGGCATCGTAAGAGAAAGGCAACCTTTTATCTAGATTAGTCCAGGGCTTCCTACACTCTATCCAGTCGATCACTTCAGACATTCTGTTATATCATCAGTTTTAGACTGCTGCTCATTCCTGCCTCTGTAGCTGCAGAAAATAACAAGCAGAACTGCCAGTGGGAGTATTTGCACAGCTACAAATTCCAGGGATGCAAGAGTAAACCAGTCCTTTCCCAAGTTTCAGTCCTTCCAGAAGTGCTTTTGATTAACCATACAATGCTGTAAAGCAGTGTACCTTCCCGCAAGGTCAAAAATCACACGACACCAGGTTATAGTCCAACAGGTTTATTTGAAAATGCAGGCTTTCATAGCACAGCTCGTTCCTCAGGCATATGTGTGAGGGAGAGGGTGCAAGACATGGAATTTATAAGCAGAAAGGTAACAACTCTAAAACTGGCCGCTTCGTGTTGAATCTTTAATCAATTAGCAAGGACACCACTGATAGAAATGCAAAATCCAGATTCCTTTCCAGTCATTGCCCCGAGATAATTAAAGGTTTTATCAATATATACAAGAGACGACATTTCAGGTCAGACAATGCATTTTAGGTGTGAAGTCTTGCTTAGAATCTGTCTATATTTTAAACTAGGGTCAGTTTTTTGAGCAAAACAGAATGTATCTACAACTACACAAACATCTTGGATGAAAACAATTCATGTGTGTGCCTGTGTCTGTGTAAGTGCGGCCAGTTTTAGAGCTGTTACCTTTCTGCTTATAAATTCTGTGTCTTATACCCTCTCTCCCATACTACACCTGAGGAAGGAGCTGAGTTATGAAAGCTTGCGTTTTCAAATAAACCTGCTGGACTATACCCTGGTGTCATGTGATTTTTGACCCTGCCCAACACCGGCATCTCCATATCATACCTTCATTCAAACATACACTTTTCTTTAGTAAGATGATTCAGTTCAATTATGCATCTGTAAATCAATCAGAATGCCCTATTTCTTAGAGTGGGGCAACCTAATGTTAGTTCCTCCACTTAAGTTGGAGTTAATGAAACAATTTTAGGATATGTGGGCTGGATTTTCCAAGAAGAGGTAATGTCATGCAGATTGTCACTTTGCTCCGTTTTCAATGCAAAAAAGAGGTCTGCATTTCCGACAGGAAGATTCCAGTCAGGGCTGCTTCAGAAACATAGAGCCATATTTCCATTCTGACAGATCCCTCGTAGTATAGAACCTAAGGTGGAAAAAAGGAACACGCCCCCTCTTTTACAGTAGCCAGTTGCCATATTCTGAAATTCAAAGGTCATATCGCAGACCGTCACTTTGACTGCTCCTGTGAATGGGTAAGGTAGTGTAAGTGTGAGGTTAGGGTGCCAGGAGGGAAGGTGCCATGTGGTAGAGTGGCAGGTAAGTTGGGTTCCAATGAACAAGGTGGAAAGGGGACTAGGGATGGGGGTGTGTGGGTTCTGGGTCTGTTAGCTGAGCCAGGTCTGAAGAGGGGTGGGATGGATGGGTGGGTGTAGGGAGTAGGGTGAGTTTGATCCAACAGTGGGGGGGTGACCCGGATGAAGAGAGGGATGTTAGGTTAGGGGTGGGGGCGATATTGGGAAATCTTGAATAAGTGTAGTCACAGTTAGGTGTGTTAAGTTAGGAGTCAATTGACTAGTTAGTCAGGAATTAGACTAGGTATTAAATAATTGAATTTCTCCTGAGTAACTATTTACCTTAAATGCAGCTGAACTGTCCAAACTTTCAGATTGAAGTGGATATTGTTTCAAGTCTCCAGGTATAGGGAATTTCAAAGGCAATTCTTTTGATGTCTGCTTCATTGGGGTTTGTGCAGGATTTCCAACTCCAACTCTCGTCTACACTTCAGGAGCAATTATTTGCCCATTGGAAAATCTAGGCCAATGTGTCAAATTATTAGTGCCAAACCTAGCTAATGAAGCAAGGAAGAGATGACCTATGCTGGTGACAATGTTTGGACCTCAGGGGATGCAAGGTGCAGTCAAAGCCAACTCAGATTCTTCTTATTATTGTCTCCTCATCTTCCACTTTAGTATTCATAACATTCATAGTTTAAAGCAATGTTAGACAGAATTCACTGATGTTCATAGAATCATTGAATTCCCTACAGTGTGGAAACAACTGATTCGGTCCAACAAGTCCACACTGCCCCTCTGAAGACATCCCACCCTGGCTCATTCCCTACCCCTGCATTTGCCCATGTCTAACCCACCTAACCATCACTGGACACTATGCTGTGGGGCAGCAGCGCTAACTACTGAGCCACCATGCTGCCCTTTCTGCAAGACAACCTGATAGAATGGCTAGGTTTTGAAATAGTCACAGCAAATGCATTCCCCACATGAATTGAAACAAATACACAAGCTCTGCATTCCTCCAAATAAACTAAACACATCTTGTTGTACTTATTTAATGTGCTGTGGAGAAAACACCATTCAGGGTTGGTCTGGGACCACAAACAGTTCAATTAGCATTTTTATGGTTCACTGTAAGTTCTGGATTTCCTTTTACTTTTGCTGTGTATATTGCAACCAGTGATAGATGAAACAAACAATAATAATAAAGCTTATCTCAAACAACTTTGTTCTCTCATCAGCATAGCCACAACAATTGTGCAGTAATAAAGCAAGGAGAGAAATAATATTTCTGTAATCTATAATTAAAATACACAGTCGCAAAATACAAACATTATCCAGTGATATGAGCAGTTCACTTAGCTGCTTTTCAATTTTGCTGATGAGTTTGCGAACGAGCTAATGAGTTGTGTGCAAGTGAGAATACAAGGCTTTTAATTATTATTCAGATTAGCTTTTTCACCAGTGATCCAAAAATAGAGCCTGTCAGTTAGTTAATGTTAAACATCTGGTTCCTTTATTATGCCAAAACATTCACAGAATCAAAGAATTATTATGGTGCAGAAGAAGGGCATTTAGACCGTTGTGTCTGCATTGGCTCTCCAAAAAAGCATTGTGACTTAGTGCCATTCTTCTGCCTTTTTCCCATATCTTTGCACAATATTTCTATTTAAATAATAATGTATTACCTTCTTGTAAGCCTCGAAAGAATCTGCCTTCCACTACAATTGCAGGCACTACATTCCAGATCTGAACCACTGTTTGTACAGAAAAGCTTTTTCCCTACAACACATTTGCTTCTTTGCAAATCACTAAATCTGTGCCTTCTCATTCTGGATTCTTTTACGTGCAGGAATAATTTCTCTCTATTTTATCTTGTGCACCTTGTTGAGACTTCATAGTGATTGATACAATTAGTGGCTTGCTAGGCCATTTCAGAGGGCAGTTTAGAGTCAACCACCATTGTTGCGGGTCTGGAATCACATGTAGGCCAGACCAGGTGAGAATGGCAGATTTCTTTCCCTGAAGGATATTAGTGAATCAGATGGATTTTTCTGACAATTGACAATGGTTTCATGTCATCCATAGATTCTTATTTCCAGATTTTTAAAATTGAATTCAAATTCCACCATCTACTGTGGTGGGATTTGAATTTGGCCCCCTAGAACATCAGTTGAGTTTCTGAATTAATTGTCTAGCGATAATTGCCTCCATTGAAGTCCTATTCTTTTGAAGTCCTATATGTCCTCCTCACACATTACAATGTTTTCAGGCTTTGCATCCTCCACAAAACTTTGCAATTGTCTCCAGCACACCAACATCTAGGTCACTAACAAATATCAGGAAAAGCAACGGTCCCAAAACCAAATTCTAGGGGACTCCATTATAAAACATTCTCTAGCTCAAAAAATATCTATTGATCATTAGATTTCATTGAATCACTCAGCCAGTTTTGTATCCATGTTGCTTCTGTGCCCTTTATTCCATGAGTTATAGCTTTTCTCATAAGTCTGCTGCGTGGCACTATATTTAACACCTTTGAAAATCCATATACACCACAATAACATTACCCTCATCAACCGTTCCTTTCACCTTTTCAAAAAATCTCCAGCGTTAGGTAAACATGACTCCCCTGCTGACTCTCAAATCAATTCACCCTTTTCCAGATGACAACTAATTCTATCCCAAATAAGTGCATTAAGAGGGTCACCCACCACTGAAATTAAACTAACTGGATGCCAAGAATAAATTTATCAATTGAAAATTATACCACAATACATGATTTTCAAATATGGCTCATGAGGTTTAGTGCTATCAACATAGATATGGGGACTAACTTTATGTTGATGATGGTGTCACGGAAGCGTACCATGTAAAATAAGGAATTAGAGATGATTGTGCATTGATGGGAAGAGATGTGATGACTAGTTTGGATCAGGTAGAAATGGAACGAAGTGAAGGCAGTGCATGGAAGTAGATCAGAGATGATAGGAGGTCCAAGTGATTGATCTGATTGGCAGAGGTGAAGGAGGATAAAAAAGGACATTTTGACAAGAGTGGCATCACATGGTATGCAATGGTTACGTTGATGTAGGTCGTTCGTGTACTATGTGCAAGGAGTAATCCAGAGCAAGGAATTCAAAAAGAATGGCGGGAAGGGTAGACATGGCAATGACAGGCTCGACAAAAGAACAAGTGGCTAGACACTGGGAAGTGATCGGGGGGTAGAAAGGGGCCAGGAATTCGTTTTCTAAAGAATGACTCCTGACTTGAAAATACCATCTCTCTCCCAAGCTAAAACTATTGCTCAGAAATCGGATTTTACAGGGGACAGTTGTCCCCCAGAGACCAGTCATTTTGACTTCAGTGGGAAATTAATCAGCATACGATACAGTTTGAGGAAAAATCAGTTGAATGTCTTTTGATATTTGTGCACAACTTAAATTCCTATATCTTTTTAAGTCACCAGAAATGTCATAAAGGATGTTGTTCAAAAGCAGAATGAGAACAAGGATTAATGATCATTTTTGCTTTGCCTTCTATTTGTTTTTCAGATGCTGTTTGGAAACAGGGCAGTAAAAGAAAATCAGGCCTAAGAAGTTTATTAGAGATAGTAGGAACTGCAGATGCTGGAGAATCTGAGATAACAAGGTGTAGAGCTGGATGAACACAGCAGGCCAAGCAGCATCAGAGGAGCAGGAAGGCTGACGTTTTGGGCCTAGACCCTTCTTCAGAATATCACCTCTTTTTTCAACCTGCTACTTCTGTTTATTATCATGAAGCTAAACACACAGAGGAAAATATGGCCTGATATTCTTAAATGATGGTCATGACATTTGCACTTTATGTGGTAATTGTGGTGTTCCACTTCATTCACCAGGACAAAGTATAAACAGCTATACACTCCTATAAAGGAGGCTGCATTACATTAGATTAGCTATGATAAATTCTTGGCTGGACTGAACAGTGAAAAAATGCATGCACATATGTGAATGATCACTTTAGGCTATTTTATGTTTTCCTTTTGTAGAAATTAGAACTGCACATTCTGCTAATGTCATCACAATTAGTTGAATTATAAAAAAGTAAAAATTTATCTTGTTAATTTTCAAAATATGCTGCTGGTGCACTTAGAGAAATACATCAGAGAACGTTCAACTCAGCCAATTAATATGTACAATCACGCAAAACGTCCAACCAAAAAAAATTCTGCAAGAAAATTCAACTGGAATAAAACTGTATCACAGGTTTGCAGATGATGAAAAGCTTTGTTGAGACATGATTATGGAGCCATAGTGCCATTATAGCACAGTAGTAGGCCATGCAGATTTTATTTTATGGCACTTGCCTATATCTTACTAACATGGAAGGGAAGATTTTATTAACTATTACAGAAATTAAAGCGCTTTCACAAAGGAATCAGATGTCTGTGACAGATGTTACCTCAGGTGGAAAGTACATTGACAGTATAAAACAATATTATTTAATGTAGATAAAAATACCTTATCTGTCTCCCACTCAAACTCCTATTAAATCCATGTTGCTTGCAAGTTGAGGAAGTGTTCATCATAGAAAAGGGAATTCAAGGGCTCTTGTGGCACTTTGGTAGTGTCCCCACCTCTGAGCTAAGAAATAGGGGTTCAAGTCCCACCTGCTCCAGATTTGTGTAACTCAAGATAATATCTCTGAACAGGCTGATTAGTAATTATCTATGGTGGGAAATTTGTAATGGTGCATATACCTGCTGTGGGGAATTTAAAAATCTTGTGGTCTTTTGCCTCCTCAAATCTAGAATCATACATGCTAGACTTTGCAACAGATGTAGGTTGGTCTTGATGATAGCACGGTATGAACTTACCATAGTATCTAAATTAGTGACAGAAGGGGTTTCCTATCCTCTGTTTGATGTGATCCAGAGACGTGATGTTATTGTTCAAAAAGTTAGAATTCACCTGGAATTTTATTTCCTGAACTCTCATTGACAATTGATTTTGGGAGTGACAGTATCCCTTTTCTTTCAGTAGCTTTTGCTACATTTACTATAAGACACAGGAGCAGAAGTAGGCCATTCAGTCCATTTAATCTGCTCTGCCATTCAATGAGACTATGGCTGACCTGATAATCCTCAACTCCACTTTTCTGCCTTTACCCTTAACCCTGGATTCCTTACTGATCAAAAGTCTGTCTATCTTAGCCTTGAATATACTTAATGACCCAGATGTGACAGCCCTCTGCGCAAGAAATTCCTCTTGTATTAAATGGGCGATCCTTTGACTGACTGTATGGAGTGTGCACAATGTCTGCGTGGGTTTCCTTCACATACTCTAGTTTCCTCCCACAGTCCACAGATGTGCAGGTTAGATGGATAGGACAGTGTAAATTGTCCATAGTGTCCAGGGATGTGTAGGTAAATGTAGGGTTATGGGGACAGAGTGAGGGGCTGGCTATTGGTGGGATGCTGTTTGGAGTATCGGTACAGACTCAATGGGCTGAATGGCCTCTTTCCACACTGTAGGGATTCTATGATTATTATTGGCTTTTATTTGTGTTTTTGTTTTGGGAAAAGGAGGAAGAGGCATCCCATGTTGATGCATTTATAGGAGCTAGCCTTAGTTTCCATTATTATTTAACTGGATGTGCTCCAACAGAAGGCCTCCATGGACTGCAGTGGTTCAAAGCAGAAGTGCACCAGCACATTCTCTATAGTATTAGAGATAAGTCATAAATGCTAACCAGCGACATCCATTAACAATGAATGATTTAAAATGAAA